CACTTGGTGTTCGGTTGGCGATGAATTATACTTGGTGTAATATTCGAAAAATAACATTAGCTGTTTTTAGCCCTTTTGTTATGTAGAGGCGTAGCGCGATGTATTAACCTGTCCTAAAGAATGCGCCAGCCCTGGGCTGACCAACATCTCGTAGCGCGAGGTACGGAACGCTACCGCGCGTAGAGTGCCAGTGTTACCAGGGAGCGACTGCCGACTACCCGTAGCGCAGAGGGCGGACTCTCATGCACGCGTGGGGTGGAGCCGGAGACAGTGCCGGCTCTGGGATTCTCAAGCAGGAAGGAAAACGTATCGGCGAACCGTTGTAAAAACTTATACATGTTTTGGACTGTATGTATGGAGAAAATTCGACGCGGAGCGCACCCTAAGGGTGGTCGGCGGAGGTGTACGATGATCGAAGAAATTTTCAATTAAAAATAATACTTAGCTTTATTGACGACCGGTGGGTGTAGTCGGTGTGTTGCGATGTTCGAGAGATGGCTTGACGTGTCGTTGGCGATGAAGTTGTCCAGTCCTCGAGCTTTTTGACCTGTCGTCATGACTGTGGTCGCGATTGTCGTAGCGCCGTTCTTCGCGTCGATCATCATTGGGACGTAGTCTTGTGGTCGAGGTGGTCGAAGCTCGGCGGAGCTGCTCGGGACGTGGTCGACGTGGTCGGAGCTCGGCGGAGCTGCTCGGGACGTGGTCGACGTGGTCCGTGGTCGACGTGATCCGGATGGCTTGCTTGTGGCTCGATGCAGTCGGACGGGCGCGTGGGGTTGTAGTTGTAGTCGCGCTTGCGTCGGAGCCATGATGACGTTGAGGTCTTGATCTTCGAGAATTGTTGCCGCTGCGGATTTGTACTCCTTCCCAAACGTCGGCACAGTGTTGGATCTTGTCGTAATACACGCATGCATCTTCCTGTATCTGAGCGATGCACGCATGCAGATACATATACATGTACACGCAAGAAGCCAAGTTCGGACCGGCTTGCATGCTGCAGGTGAGTCGATCCCAGTACGGTGCTTGATGATGCCGCTGATGAAGTGGTTTACGATCGAGACGAGGCGGTTGCTCATGGACCAGGTGATGAGCACATGTGAGCTCGAAGGAGATCTGAACTATCTTCAGCTTGCATGGCACTGTAGATCACACAGCCTTCGATTTCTTGCTTGCCTGACAGCTTGCACCCGAACGTTCATGCATGCGGTGGACTGGTAGCCAGCAACAACCAACATGCAAGTCCAATCTAGTCCTGTAGGGTTACGATGAACTGACGTCATGGTTCGTAGAAGTAGTGGCCGATGCCAAATCTGCGGTAGTAGATTCTGAACGCCCCTTTCAATGACGCTGCTGAAGCTGGGAAGCAGACCCGATCTCGTTGAAATCTCGGCTTGCTTCCCAGGTATACGACGCCGTAGATAGCCGACTTAACGACGAGTTCGCACAGCGACGTCAAGCCACTGCAAGAGCCTCAAGACGACGACTCCATCGTAGGTGAAGGACGCCGCCGCCAGAAGCTAAATTGCCACGGATGGCATTGATCTTCAGATCCCATCTGGCTCGCCGTAGATCAGCGCGCACGATCCCCTAAAGGGGTCCCCTACCTGGCGCGCCACTGTCGACGAAATATGGTCGGCAGTCCACCGAGGGGGGTGCCCGTGGTGGTAGATTATCGGTAGGATGCGTGTGATCTGGAACCAGATGGTGACACAAGGCGCAGAGACAGCGATTTAGACAGGTTCGGGCCGTCTGGTCGACGTAATACCCTACGTCCTGTGTCTTTGGTGTATTGTATTGAGATGTATACAGATTAACCCCTTTGGATCTGTCCTCTAGGGGACCCTTGTCTCTCCTTATATACTCCGAAGAGACAAGGTTACAAGTAAAGTATCCAATTTGGTACTATTATAATATCTAGTACAACTTATAATCTTGATGTGCACGCCTTGATCTTACGGGCCGGGCCACCTCGGATGGTGCGGCCCATGTAACATCTTGTGGTACCGGGGGTCTATCCCCCACAATGACATCATGGAAAAGGCACCAAAATTTATTTTATAATTTTTGAGCTATATTTATTATTTTTTGAATTTTATTATAAGATCTATATATATGTGAATAGCGGACCTTCCGGCTGTATCGGTCACCGTTTTTTGTTTGTCCGGGTACTATTTTATAGACGAAATGGTTTGCGATGGCTAAATGGTTTGTGATACTATTTTATATCGCAAACCATTTCACAATTACAAAGACCGCCCATGAGTGATGGTGAAATGGTTTGTGATACTATTAAATTATTGCCGATGTTTCTACCTATAGTCATTACTAAGTACTAACAGATTTGTCGTTAATGTGTTGTTTTCGAGAGTTTCGTTTAACAGGGGGCACAAGAGCCTGAGACCAACCAAATGGCAGCTTATTATCATGGGCTTGGTGGCCCGACTAACAAGCATGGCCCGTTAGAAACCTTGCAAAGCCTTGAGCTCTATTTTGTGCAGTAAACGTTAACTTTTAGGTCCTTAACGATTGAGCAATTCCAACAGAGTTCCTATTTAAGCCCTGAAAATCAAATTTAAGGTTAGAGAAAAAACCAAACTTCAACAGGTTCTCTATTAGAGCTCTAAAAAATTAGAGACCCCCCTCAAATCTTCCCCTTGTCCATCGTTCCTGGGGCGCCTACTTTAAGCCTTCAAATGACGGTTGTGGTCGTTTCTCTTCCCGCGGTCATATGGAACAGTGCTCGTCCGTTAGCATCCGATGCCGTGCCGCCTCCTTCACCGTCCCTCAGGACCTCCCAACGTGGCTCCCCTCCCTGATGGCCGGCTTCACTCTAGGGAGGTCATGCTCGGATTCTCGGGCAAGGCCCCACTCCTCTCCAAGCAGAGGCCTTCCTCTCAAACCTCGCGGTGTGACCCTTCATCCGGTTCTCTCTCTCTCTCTCCTCAACGAGGACTCCTCTTGGATCCGAGAGGCTGTCCTTCAGCGGAGCACAACTCACTCCTCTCCGGGGAGGCCGTCCTCCGGTGGATGGGAGTCATATGCTATGTTGTGTTGTTCCCGTATTTCTATATAGCTCAATAGATTAGAAAGTCGGGAGAAAATAAGGAGTGGGTCCCATTTGGTAGTGTGTATTGGAATAGATTTGATGGCTCTGCTAGATGAGTAAAAACAATCAGGTCCTCAAAAGTAGAGGGAGCCCACGAATCAAAACTAGGGGCCTTGATTTGATCACACAATATTTATAGATCCCTTATATGTTAACTTGTTAAGTTAGCATTGTGTAAGGGCTTATTTGGACCATCTACGGCTAGTTACTAGACGGGTCTAAAAATTAGCCCAAATACCTGGAGTTGACCAACTAGTTGGTTAACAACTAATTGTAGACTTTGATTAACAAATTGGCTCATCTGTTAGCCCCCTGCTTGAATTGGATGGGCTATGACTAAAAATTAGCTAGCTAACAACTCACCCTATGCATCTAATAAACATGCCTTACACTGGGATTTGAAGGATGTAACATGTAAAGGTCACAAAAATAGGTCTTGGATATTCCACAGAACATATATATTGTTCAGAGCATAATAAACTCAGTTCCCCCGAATACGTCAGGATTATATTGTTGTAGGGGATAATTTTGTTCTCAAACGAGGTCTAATAACCTTTTCCATCTTGGAGTGACTGGTTCCTACGCCTTGTGCAGATCAGGCGCATTCGGTTCTGCAAAATGGCGAACTAAGTATGCCTAATAAGACATTACACGAGTGTGATAGCTACGTACCATATAGTTTCCTGCGCAAGTAGTGTATTGCGCCGATTAAAACAAAGTAGCTCCTGAAAATGCTTACTAATCAGTATCAATCTTTTTGGACTGACACTACTGAATGCCATTTGTTGTAACCTAGTAGTCTCCACCAGGGGCTAGTGCTTAGTTACGCAACTGGAGCATGTAAAACTGTCGTGCCAAATGCTTGGCAGTACCGGCTCATAAGATACAAGTCCAATAAATTAAAGAAGATGAAACAATACAAGTTCCAATTGCGTATGGACAAATAAAATTTGGGATTTTTGTGGATGTGAAGTGACCATCGTCTCTTGGAAAGGGAATTCAGATGCACATATATATACATATCTAATCCACAACAGCAGGTAATCAAGACAAGAGACGAAGACATGTTGTCACGTACTCCTAGTTTTTTTTTTTGACAAAGTCGTACTCCTAGTTTTGTGTTTTTGCTGGCTACAAACGTACGTGGAGGCCACGAACAAAAAAGGTAAAAGATATACTATACATAAAAACGTCCCTCTTTATTTGTTCTTCCTTATTACTATTACTAATAATAAATAATAATCCTAAAAACAATATCGAAATAAAATGCAGCGAATGAGATTTCGTGTTCTAAGAATAATATTGTACGTACTGGTGTATCATTCGGAAGCTAAGTAGTTATTATTGCTGTATTGGTGATTGCCTATGTGGAGCGAATATTAGAACATGATTAGTAGGTGCAGCAGGAACCAGAAACGCGAATCGACACCCTGCACTGGCCGACAGGTGGGCCTCGATGCCCAGCCAGCCGCCCGGGCCGGTGCTCCACCCTGTCACGTCATGCAGGCGGGCACGACGGACGCGGCCGGGCAGCGGTCGTTAAGCCCTCCTGATGATTAATTATTTTTCCCGCGTCGCCGCCACGCCTTATTGCTTTGCCTAATCAGTAGAGACCAATCAGGTTCGGACGACGGAGACGAAGAGGAGCCTTGGTTGCAGTAGGTTCCCAACTTCCAACCTCCAAATCCAAAAGGGGATTCCAGAGAGAGAGAGGAAGCCCAACAGCAGCGGCGCCGGCCGGCCGACGTGCTGATGGCCGAGCACTGACGCGGCGCGGAGCCGGCCGGAGCATTCTGGGGAGGGGCGCGCCGCCGTGGCTCCGCCGCGTATGCCTACTTGTTGATTGTGCGAGGTCGATCGGCCGTGACAGTGAGAGGTGGACGTCTTGACGATGATGGGGGAGCGGGCGCCGGACCGGAGGAGGCTGTACCAGGTTTGGAAAGGAAGCAATGTATGTAAGCCTTGGTGCCTCTCTGCTTCATCACAGTTAATTCCTGCAAAATGTCTGTGAATTTTGGAATTTAGGTGTCGCCGATCATAGGATTTTCAACTTGATTCAGATAGTGCCAGTGTAAGGAATTACAGTCCCTGAATGTTTTTCAGAAATTCCTCTTTGGCGGGCGGCTGATTTTCGGCCCGGACGCGGGCTCCCTCTTCCTATCTACAGTCCTGATAGCATGCCCGTTGGCCGGCCTGTGCTTCCAGTGCGTCACCAAGCTCAGCTCCGGCAGCTCGGAGAGGCAACCGCTCGGCCTGCCGGTCCTCCTCTCCACCATCCTTCTTGGGCTATCGGTGGGTGAGCGTGAGCCTGACTCACTCGACTGCATGCCGACTGGCTCTCGATCAGGATTGCTAATCCTCCGTTCTTTGCATCGCATCGCATCGCAGGATCTGGCGTTCCTGTTCCTGACATCGAGCAGGGACCCGGGGATCGTGCCGAGGAACGCGCGCCCGCCGGAGCAGGCGGAGGGCGGCGGGGACGGGGACGGGGACGGCGACCCCGTCGCCGCCGCTGATGACGACGTCGTCACGGCGTCGACCGAGTGGGTGATGACGAGCGCCGCGAACCCGCACCTCCGGCTGCCGCGCACCAGGGACGTGGCCGTCGCAGGGGGCCACGTCGTCCGGGTGAAGTACTGCGACACGTGCCTCCTGTACCGGCCGCCGCGGGCGTCGCACTGCTCCATCTGCAACAACTGCGTCCAGAAGTTCGACCACCACTGCCCCTGGGTCGGCCAGTGCATCGGCCTGGTGAGTATGTGCATGTCACGGCCACGCCCGGGCTGCCAGGCTCTGAATGAAAATCCTTTGCATGCGTTGAGCTGACACTGACGAACGCCGCGCAGCGCAACTACCGCTTCTTCTTCCTCTTCATCTCGACGTCCACGTTCCTGTGCCTCTACGTCTTCGTGCTGTCCTGGCTCAACATCGCCGCGCAGAGGCCGCGACACGGCGGGTCGCTGCTGAGGTCCATGACCGGCGAGCCGCTCTCCCTCGTGCTCATCGTCTACACCTTCGTCGTCGCGTGGTTCGTCGGCGGCCTCACCGTCTTCCACATCTACCTCATGAGCACCAACCAGGTACGTGACGTACTCCGATCCGATCCGTCAGAGCCGGCCGGAGCGGAGACATTCATGCTTTGGTTGTTCAGAGACGTTGATCGAGCTGCGCATGCAATTCATGACGTTCATTCGTTTGTGCAGACGACGTACGAGAACTTCAGGTACCGGTACGACGAGAAGGAGAACCCGTACAACAGGGGCGTGCTGGCCAACGTGTCCGAGGTGTTCTGCACCGGGATGCCGCCGTCGATGAACAATTTCCGGGCATGGGTGGAGCTGCCGGCATCGGCACCGCCGGAGGCGTTCGTCGATGGCGGGCCGTTTACATCCAGGAACAAGATCGACCTGGAGATGGGGTACAAGGGCGTAGTGCAAGTGCAACACCCTGCTGGTGTTCCAGCCATCTTGCAGGGGCTGCATTACGCGGAAATGGAGAAGAACAGTGCCAGTTTCCACATCAAGGACCGCCAAACTGCGGAGGCGCCGGACCCCTTCATGATCCCGGAGGAGCCGCCACACCCTGCAGCAGTAGGAGCTTCGTCTCCAACTGTGTTTGTACATGACAACGGAGTCGAATGAAGCGATGAGCAGCGGCAATATTCCGTGGTCATTGTGACTGAAACTGTGGTTGCACAATGATGCACTTGCAATACATTTTTGGACAATCTTGGAACTCGAGAGGTTAAAAATCGTGATATATAGATTATGACCTTGCTCATACATTAATTGACACTAGTAGAGAACAGATTTTTCATCCGATGTTAAAATAGGCTCTAGTCCAGGTATTTTTTGCGTCCGGGACTAGAGAGACTTTTAGTCCTGGTTGGTGTCTCCAACCAGGACTAAAGGTCCCTGCCCAACGGCTACTGCGCTCGGCACAGTGGCAGAGGACCTTTAGTCCCGGTTGGAGACACCAACCGGGACTAAAGGTGGACCTTTACTCCCGGTTGGAGCCACCAACCGGGACTAAAAGTCCTCAACCTTTAGTCCCGGTTGGTAACAACAACCGGGACTAAAGATAGACCCTTTAGTCCCGGTTGGTAACACCAACCCGGACTAAAGGACCCTTTAGTCCCGGTTGGTAACACCAACCGGAACTAAAGGTCCCCCGATGGGTTAGTTCAAAAGGGAAGCATCACATCTATTGTTAGATGTGTTGTGTAGATGGGGTGGTAAACTACGCGCGAGGCAATGCATGGGGTCTTGGGTTCGAATCTCACGGGACGCAGCGGTGGGAGGCATTATTTTTTTTAAAGCTAGGAGGACCTTTAGTCCTGGTTGGTGTTACCCACCTGACCCGGGACTAAAGGACTCCCCTTTAGTCCCGGATGCTTACTCCCGGGTGGGGAACCGGGACTAGAGGGGGTTCACCACCGGGAGTAAAGCTCTGTTTTCTACCAGTGTGAACTAGGTACATTCTCCGTACGTTGGGCTTGAACTTAAGGTGTAATTTAGGAGAATTGATCATATATTTATGTTGTATATATGTTGAAACTGTTCGATTGCTTCCATGTCAGAACCTCCAATTTAGTTTGTTTGTAAGAGAGTAGCTAATTCGTTATCATGATGGTAGCCACCAATAGATTACAATCGTGTCATTTATCTTTGGAGAAAGAAAGAGATATACTTTCAACCCTTATCAATCTATAAAGGGATTGGCACATTGCACTATATATATTTGAAAGGAAAGACTAACTTATATAATAAGTAACATGTATGAAAGAGATAGTCCTAAACCTCTTCTTCAAGATATGCTTGTAGCTAGGGACGGATGCAGAGTTTAAATCTGGGGGGGGGGGGGGGGGTGATCTCCCCGTTGGCTTGATCTCCCCCAGCACCCATGGGGGGGCGGGGGCTGGCTTGATCTCCCCCAGCACCCATGCTGGATCCACCCCTGCTCGTAGCCATATTGGATATTCTAGACATCGAGTTGTATCAAATGCCAATTCAGTACAGAATTCTCACCTTTTACTTGAATATTGATGGAAAACAAGAGCAACCAAATATTTTGTATATGAAGTTCCAATAAATTGCCAACCGCCAAGAATGAACTTGAGGAATTACCGAATTAGGGTTGCAAGAAAAGAAAACACCCTTGTTGTGACCGGCATTATATTAGTATTATATATGAGGTTTGCTAGAAAATAGAAAGTGTCCACTCAAAAAAGCGGATATGCAAATAAATTGTATGTCTTGTAGGTACCTACCTATCACGACAAATACTTCTAAGTATGCTTTCATAGTAGGTTTTCACAATTTCTAGGAATTTTGTCTTTCGATAGATATGCATCTGAAATTTGTTATTTTCGTATGAATTTTGAGTCAGAGATCGTTGAGCCTGTCCTCATCATGCCGCTTTGTGGATGACGCACGCGCGTGCGGTCACACCCGGAGGCGTAGCCTCAACCATGCCGATCGACACTTTCATCAACGCTTTCAAGAAGCCGTTGCAGCAGCCTATCCTTTCGTCATACCGGGCTTGGATCACAAAGATCCCGGAGAGGGTGGTGATGATGATATGAAGTATTTGTCCCCAAGAGGAGTGCACGCCTTGTAGCAAAGAGCAAGTTCAGAGCCTAAAAACTTGAAGTGCGATTTAGGAAGGTAATGATGAAGTGTTTGGGTTTTGAGGTCGAAATCCCAGCTGCTGATGAGGCATCGTTTGAAGAGTTCGGTAGGCGTTTGCACCGCCGTTGTCGCCCTCGAAGAAGGAGGCAATGCACGTGCTTTTCCCTAGTAGGCGAACATCTGCGCGTGCCGCCGAGAGTCAGAGTAGGCCACTAGAGATCCTTGTCTTTGGTCGCGTAACAGTATGGCCATATAGTCCTTTTTTGTAATATTGCTGGTTCGTTCATTGCACGGTCAATCTTGCCTGTGTCTCGCTAGTGAGATTGTGCCGATCTATAACGTTTAAACTTCTGCCTTCTTAATGAAATACGGGTTAAACCCTGCTCGTGAAGAAAAAAATTTAGTAGATTGAGTTTGAATCTTAAATTTCGTGACAATGAATATGTATCGGTGAACTGTCCATAGATGGGTCTTGCGCATGGTGCGGTGGTGCCTTCAGGTCCCATCCTATGCTATAAAGGCACCATGGATGCACAAGACTCATTCCATGGCCTCTATAGCATATGGGACTAATCTACACCATAGTTTCGTTGATTAACAACCACGTGTGACATGATAGATCTCGCCACGAAGGCTTCTCTCTACATGCAAATCGAGAACACAACCAAAGAATATAGAAGATGCAATCTCAAATGTTGCTAATATAAATAAGCTTACAAGTAGTTTTGGTTGCACAAACCAATGCATGGTGAAACTATTCGATGGCAAATTAGTGTAAGAAAAACCCAAGTTTAAAAGTGGCTATAGCAAAATATAAGAGAACGAGTGGTGGCGGAGGGTCGGCGTCGGGGGCGGAGGTGCATCGGGCGAAGGAGCGTCAGGATGGCTGTTGAATGCTGAGCAATACGGATCGGAGGGTGGTGGCTCAATATTGAACATGAGAGTTTGCAAGTATAGTGATACTGGTGGGTCATGCGATCCAATTCCAATTCCGAATCGTTAACCATCCAAACAGCTATGCTTGGAGCTAGGCAGCTAGCCAATACCAATTTCAAATTCTGAGACTGAATATCGACGTCCAAACGATATGTAAACAAAATTAGGAATGAGCTCTATATTTTTAACTTTTATGGCAATATCCAAAGGTTGCATATCCTTGTAAGAGAACTGAGATGAAACGGTAAGGGAGAAAGAGACGTGGAGGATGATAGCTGCACCCTTCACCTAATACAAATGTAATCATATTACATATGTTGCTAACCAAATGTAGCTTATGCAACTTAAACCAAATGGCATCACATTGTATATGGATATATCGGTTATGACTAGCCTATAGGATGGTTTGATACAAGAGCTATTTGCTAGCTAGCTAAAATTAGCCGTAGTGTATCTAAACCGGAGGACTAATAGGTGGACAATTTTTAATCAAATCATCAATTAGTAGTTAGACAACTAGCTAGCCAATCTCAACTAATTTAACTTAATTTTTAGCCCAGCTAATAACTAGCTCTAGCTTATCTAAACGTGCCCTATATTAGAATCAATACAGCTAAAATTATGAGCAACCGATCAAACTCATAAGATGGTAGCTAGAGAAAACTTCTCAGAAAAGATGGTGTTGAATGGCAGGGTTGCTGCGCAGAGGTAAACATGAGCGATTCTCCATCTCTTATAATCTCTACAACTAAAAAATTCCTACGGTCAACATCTACCCGGCAGGACGATAGGTCGTGCGACCCCGCGTCTACCCGGCAGGACGAGTACACGATGCGACACCGCAGCCTCCGGCAATTTCTACCTCACCACGCACAGTGTTTCCCGGCAATCACGTCCCATTAGCAGCAAAATAGGCAACCCGGCAATCACGTCCACTATAGCGGCAACAAAGGCAACCCGCGCATCAAAAAAAAAAGAAATAAAACCTCTCCATTGGCCCCCTGATCAGATCACGGCCACCAACAAAAAAAACCCGACGTGGTCACGCCGGTAGTCTTCACGCGTCGGTTGCCGGCGCCAATTCTCCACCCGCGAGTCTCCCCTGGTTGTGCCGGCAGTCTTCACCCGACGTGGTCGCGCCGATAGTCTTCACGCGTTGGTTGCCAGCGCCAATTCTCCACCCACGAGTCTCCCCTGGTCGTGCCCGCAGTCTTCACCCGACGGTTGCCGGCGCCAATTCTCCGTCAGATTATCCATCAGGTAACAATCTTGCTGTTTAAATCCATGTGGACGGGACGACTCATTTCTGGTCGTCGTCATTGAAGAGATCGCCGTTCTTTCCTGCAAGGGCGAGACTATCCGATCCATCCATGAGAGACCAGGTACGTTAGTTCTCTTTGATGTGTTGCTTGGCTTTCTTGGCCATCCCTGGCAAATAAACAAGATATCGAAAATCAAGTCATAATAACTGATCAAGTATTATCTGCCAAGTGCAAATTGTCATGAAATAGAAATCTTTTTACATGCTGCCAAGGACGAGTTATAAGAAATGTATGGTTGTTAAATACAACATATCTTAATTGATTTCACCCCTCCCCTATAAAGTCGCTGTCCACTGCCAAGTGACAATCAAATTCATTTGTCGACTTTGATGCAGCTCTGCTGATTAGAACTACTCTGACTGGATCCATGAAAATTGCAGCACTATCAGAATGCCAATATATAGCTTCATGTGTTCATAGTCCAATAGTGGTTTCATTAAAACAAAAGGGAATGGCATATGAAATTTTTCATTGATGTTACAAGGCTATGCTAAGATATAGAAGTCACCAAATGTCTTGTAGTTTCTATTTGCTGTATTTTCATTGATGTTACAAGGCTATGTATAGTTGTAGAATTTCTTTTTCCCCCCTGCTATTTAGAATGCTAAGATATAGAAGTCACCAAATGTCTTGTAGTTTCTATTTGTTGTATTATCGACCTATCTTTGGAAAAATTAACATTGCAATGCAAAACCTGTACTTGAATCTGCACGTAGGAAATTTAGTTGGTGAACCAAAGAGATTAAATAAAGA